AAGGGAGAAGGAAGTCTGGGTTTTTTATTTTATTTTAGTTGTTTTTTTAATTTGGTAATATTTTAGCATTATTTAGGTGGAGGCTTCAAATAAGCTCATTGAGTTTTCTGCTCTTCCTGCACTAAATGTTGTCTATTCTGTTATTTGTTTTTTTCCCTTACTGTGCAAATAAATAAAATAATAAATAATAAAAATGTACTTCGCCTGTTGCCACAGCGACCCGACCTTGATAAGGAATAAAATGTAGATAGATGGATTGGTGATTTTTTTTATATGTGTGCTGATATAAAAACAAAACATTTGACAAAATATTTAATGGAGAAACCGCCATTAGGATCATTTAGATATGGTGTCATCATGAAGGCTGTCCAGCAGAGGGCGCTCCTGATCCACAGTGAACAATACTGTACTTTCTTTTTTTTCCTCCCTCTATAACCCTTATTAATCTGTGTTGCTCAATTCAATTTAAGTCTTACTTTTTTATATATTTAATCTCTAAAGTGTTTTCTGTTTTTATGTAGGACACAAAGGAGAGAAAGGTTTGATGAAAGATGAGATTGATGATTTGATAGAGTTCAGTATTCAGAGTTCTTCCTCCAGGTGATATATTCAAGTATGAAACACAGAGCTTTACTTCAGAAACAGAACTGAGCCTTTGACCTTTGACCTCAGAGTTCTTACTGTCCTTTAACTTACAAATATTTGAACTCTTAGGTCAGAGTGTTGAAGTTAAAATAACACACTCAAACAGTTCTGTTTTTGGCCACCAGAGGACAGCAGAGCACAGATATTCAATAGTTTGATGTTATTGTTCAAGAATCAGACACTGATTAAGTCAAATCTTTTTATTTATTCCTTTTTACAATAGTAACAAGAAATGCAAGAGAAACTTGATGGTGAGAGAGCCGATGGAACGCTGTTGAAAGTGTTTGTGTCCAATCATCGTCTCAGAAAAACCAAACGAGACCAGATAAAAAAATAGATATAAATATCAATATAAACACATATATACATATAAACAGATATTAACAAAGTTTGTCAGGATCCAGCAGCTGGACCAGAACAGGATCCTGAACCGTCTCATCCTGAGGAGAAAAGAGATTTAGTTTAAATCAAACATTTAGTAAATCTGTAAAAACAGGACAGAGTTGATCAGTCAGTCAGAGAACATTTGATCAAAGCTCTGCTGGCTCACCTTCGACTCTTTGGAGTCATCTGACATCAGACTCTGCTGAGATGACTGTCCTGAATTCATACCCTCCTGTACAGAAAACATTAATAAGAGAGACTTTAATAAATCATTGAACATAAAACAGATTGAAAGTAAAGAGAGTTTAAAACATACCTGGTAGTAGAGTACTGCTGCTATGACTTCTGGAATAAGACATTAGAAATAAAAATCAAATAAATGATGAGACAGACCATAATATCTTTAAAATAAACATGATCATGTTTCATTGTCACAGTGGAGACCTTACCTGAGATTAGAAGTCTTATTATCCACCATGCGAGATAACAAACTAAAAGTACAGAGAATAAAGACAACACAACAACAACAACGAGTTAATCAGTACAGTCCTGTGTAACAGTAGTCCTCCACACTGAGCGTCCTCTGTCTCAGTTCCTGGTCTCAGCAGCTCTCGACCCTTTGATTCACATCTGTAATGATAGAGGGACAGTTATTACAGGAACATCTGGAGAGTCCATGTGTGATGTGAAGCTTCACTCACTGTGTGTGTTTCTGACAAGATGGAAACGTCCCGTTTGAAAATGTTCCATCAGAGCAGATCGAGCAGACGGTGTCTGTGGAGGAAGTTCCTGCAGGAAATACAGAACACATGAGACTATTTCACAGAGGTTGTTTTAGACATGAACACAGTCCCTCTACCACCGTCCACCATACGTGTTAATGACGGGGTAAGAATGGCGTCCCAGTCTGTGAGTTCACATTGAACTCAAACTGTCTGTGTGTGATGAAGTGAAATGTGTTTAACTAACCGTGTTCTCTGATGTATTCTCCTGGTTTACAGCGTCTGTGTTTCCTTGCTTCCACACAGTCGTCCTTTCTAGAGTCTGAGCAGTAAAATCCTTCCAGAGGTTCACAAACTGTGTCTGATACTATCGTACACGACGTCTTCATCTTCAGACCAGAACCTGTCGACACAAACACAGAGGTTATTTATGAACTACTGTACTTCTGCTCTACTGAAGAACAGTTTGGTGTAAGGAAATAACAAGTACTCAGATGATCATCTCTGTGTTTGAGGCTCAAACTCAAACTAACTGAAGGTTAGAAAGCTGGTTTTACAATGATGACTGTTTAGTAACATGTTCTGATCTTTATTTAGTTTGATAATAATGTCAGAGATCTACCTTCATCACAGCTTTTACAGTTGTAGCAGACTGGACGAGAAGTCGGATGGTCCATAAAGGTTCCTTCAGGGCAGGGCTTACAGTCAGTACTTCTGGACTCTGTGCAGTCTGCATAAACTCGACCTCCTGTTTGAAACAACAACAAGACATGGAGTGGGCGAAAAAAGGAGGAACAGGAAGACGGTAAGTGGAACAGAGGACGATAATATATAATGAATATGTTTAAAGGTAATTGTAAAGGTAAATGTTCTTTAAATGTATATGTTGAAAACAATACAAATATTAAACAGCTTTTGCATGTTTTTAGTTAGTCACAGGTTATTTATTTAAAATAGGGACATTGAAACTAACCTGATAAACTTTAATTAAAGATTCTTTAACATTCATGAGGATCTTACCAGCTGGACACATAGGACAGCATCTATCATTTATCTGATACTGTTTTTGAGGACATGTCAGAGTTTGACCTGTGGAGACGTTCATCAGGAGACTCTGTGAAGAGAAAGAGAAATGTTCTCACTGAAGACAAAGTGTACATGAATACAGAGAGAAATCTAAAATCATCATCCAGTCCATGAAGAGAGAAGGGGGAAAGAGTTCAAATCTTCACATCTGAAGTTTGTCTGTTTGTGTGAAGAAGAATCATTCACAACAAATATTTACACAGATAGAAATGCTGAAGAGGAGAAATCTAAAACCTGAATCAGTGCTCAGATAATTCAATAAGATCATTTACCAGAAACACTGCAGCTGATCCAGGTCTCATTCTCTCTGTAACAGAAGACCAGCACAGATTCCTCATCTGTTTGAACCAACGCAGATTTAAGACCAAGAGAAATGTAACTCCAAACCAGGACAGGTAACACACTCCCAGAGAAAAGTGTTTTCAGCTTCCTGCAGTCAGAGAGAGATCACCATCTTCATCATCATCATCATCATCTTCATGACAGATGCAGATTGTTCACCAGGTGTAAATAGTCTCAGACATAAATGGAAATTATGAACTGGATCTTACCATGTGGACACACAGCACAGCATCCACCAGGTGTCTCATACTCGTATGGACCACATGTCAGAGTTTGACCTGTGGAGACGTTCAGCAGGAGAATCTGTGAAGAGAAAGAGAAATGTTCTCACTGAAGACAAAGTGTACATGAATACTACCTGATGATGATAAATCTGTTTAATATTTCACAGAGTAAAAACAGTGTGAAGTCCAAACCATGAATACGATATTATCAGGATGCTGGAGTCAAGATACGATATTATCAGGATGCTGGAGTCAAGATACGATATTATCAGGATACTGGAGTCAAGTGTAACAAGTGTATTAAAAAGCAACTGATTTTGCAAAAGGACCCTCTCCTTAATCAAAAAGGTCGAACTACAAAGTTATTTATCCCCATTGAATAAATGGGAATGGTTTAAATATGATGTTAGAAAAATTGGCATTCAATGAATACAGAGGGATACCTATTTACCTTTGAAGAATTTACAACAAATGATCTAAAGTAACATGTCATATTCTCTGTGTGTACCTTTCTTGCCTTGTTTAAAAGTTGGTGAAGTTGATCTGTTTGATAGACGGTGAAACAGTCTTTAAACAGAAAAACAAGAGACCTTGAGAAAATTGTGTTTTTCTTTTTAATCTGTCATGTCCAGTTACTCCTACGCTCAAAGAAACACATTTTAAAGTTGCATGTACAATCGACCCAGTTTGTGATTTTTTACACAAAAGGCTCCATTTTGAAGTAGATCCCTGTGCTTTTTGCTCCTCAGAGGTAGGAACCTTGGAACATTTACTTGTTGACTGCTCATACAGTAAAACATTTTGGGCTGATATCCACAGCTGGTTGTCTTTAAAGATTGATAACATTCCTACATTTTCTGACAAAGATATCCTCTATTATATTCAGACATTGTTAACCTTGTTATAATTTTGGGTAAATTTATACTAATTTATAAAATATATGGAAAATAGAATAGAAAGGCCAAAAAACTTGATTTGGATATATCTAAAGTCTTGCTTTTTAAATGTTTCTTGCCTTGCCTGAGCTATTTCTATGTTCACCTGATTTGTTTTCTTTAATTGATGTATGGAATTTATTTTCCGTTAATTAGTTAATGTAGATTTGGTAGTGAAATTTGAAAGTTCAATTTCAAAATAAAACACAATATACGGACTCGCGATCGTATTTATCGTCACTTTATCAACATTACGTCAAAACAGACACCGAATTAACAACAATACATCCTCAGAAAGACAAAGCAGCATGTTGTTTACATGTTTTTCTCTTTAAATTTAGGGTCGGCTCACTTCACCATGTAAACTTGAGGAGCGGCTGGCTTGACCGCAGTGTTTCCTGGAAGATTACAAGACTCGTCAACAACAGTCAGGAAGTCACAAAGACTTCATGTTTAGAAATAACTTCAACATTTTCTCCCTATGAGTCTCCTTGTTGTAGTCCTTATATCTGCCCTGAAGTTTGAGGTTATTTTCATGTATTTCGATAAAGTCTAAAGTGTCAGACAGCCTGAGTGTCTCAGGATCCTCTGTGTTCATTTAGTGATCATTAGAGGATTTATAACATTTCACACAGAAGAGTTTTAACTTTAAAACAACGAAGATTCACTTTTACACTGTTCTCCAATGTTGTTTAGTCTTTAATTTAATAAAATATGGCAAGAAAAACACGGGCACACATACCTTAATGCACCAAATGGCGTCGCTGACAATTTCACTTTCGTTTTTCAGCCCTTCAAAATAAAAGCATTAAAAGTAGAACCATCCAATAGTATCTGTCTGCAGTCTGAGAAATCATGAAGAAAACATGCTCAACTCCTTTTCAACGTCAAACTACATTTTTATTTTAATTGCCACAAGGACGTTTCGAGCAGATGCTCTTCTTCAGCGTGTAAACAGGCAATGTTGTCAAATATACACAGGTGGGACGAATTTATACTTGTCTACATTAGAACATGTTTATTTATGAAACACATGACTCCAGCCATATCAAAGCTGTCGTATCCTCCAAAGCGTAAAGAAAGAGTCCTGCAGCCAGTCTCTGCAGACGGGTGGATGGAGCTGAGAGTAAATTAAAAAAAAAAAAGATATTTATTTTGATACACAAAATTTCATCAAAAATACAAAAATTACTAAATCTTAGAGTGTAATAAACCCAAATAACTTCAGTAAGATGACATAATTCTCTATAAAGCGCCAGATCTCGCAAGAGAAACAAGCAACCAGCTCTATGGAAACAAGCCCAAAACAAGCGACCTGGCTCCTCAAATAAATAAAATGAAGCCCAACAGGTGACCTAACTTACCACATAGTGTAAAAGAGAGGTCACTTGATAGCAGTATATATATATATATATACATATATATTTATTTGTTTGTCTTGTCTCATTTTGATTTGAAACGGTGAAATCGATGTCCGTAAGCCTCATGGATTTTGGTGAAGTTTTTTTTGCTTTTCAGTGCCAGCATCATCAGCATGCTGTATTATGGTCGGATCCAGTCTCTTTCTCTCTCTTTATTATACTTTTTTCCATTCAGCCAAAACATTTAGGCTAATGAGTTAAGTTGGATTTGTTGGTGTAGCCGGTCTGGCTTGACACTGTGTGTGCTACGAAAGGTTCTCTGTTGTGCTGTGTGGATGAGATGAAGACCAAGGACTCTGTTACCAGCTGGAGCAGGTTTATTTTCACACCTGTGTAAAATAAAATACATTCAGTACACACCTCTCCTCAGCGGGGTCTTGGGCCGTCTGACACAATGCATGGGTGTGCTGTGGCATCCATTTTTAAATAAGAACAAAAACAAAATAAAAAGCTCCTGACGCTTCAGCGTGGCCACAGAGCCCGGGCATCCACGACTACAGATTTGCCTATTTTCTCTGGTCATCTGCTAAACGCAACATGTGCTACAAAGAAATCTCTGTCATTCATGGGAACAGGAAAAGACACATCTGTCATAGACAACGAAATCTTAACAACTTGTCTCTGCTTAAGAAAGCCTCTTCTACCACCCTTCATTTACTTTTGGCCTCTGGAACTGTCAATCTGCTGTGAATAAAACTGAATTCATCCAAGCACTTGCAAAAATGTCAGACATTCAGGCACTTGCCCTTACTGAAACCTGGATCCGCCCAGAAAATACAGTCACACCAGCTGCTCTTTCTGTTGACACAGTGTTCTCACACACACCCCGCTCTGTTGGACGTGGAGGTGGTACAGGTATCCTCATTTCTAATACCTGGAAATTCCGATCTGTTCACACCAGACATGTTTGCCTCGAATTTTGCTGAAAAGGTTGCAACCATCAGTAACCAGTTTTCTGAGCCTGACCAACTCAGCCCAAAGGCACCAACCAAAAGTGCCTCACTCGACTCATTCTCCTCTTTGACTGAGGATGAAGTCTCTAAGCTTGTGCTAGACTCTCGACCCACCACCTGTCCTCTGAACCCAATACCATCAAGCCTCCTGCAGACCATCTCCGCTTAATGTTGCACTTAAGCATATCATCAACTCCTCTCTGTCAACGGGTGTGTTCCCCACCGCATTCAAGCAAGCTCGGGTCACCCCTCTGCTCAAAAAACCCACACTAAACCCAGCCCAGGTTGAAAACTACAGATTGTTTTCTCTTCTGCCCTTTCTGTCAAAAATACTTGAGCGCACTTTAAGCAAGTCTCTGAGTTCCTGTCCAGAAATGATCTGTTTGACCCAAATCAGTCAAGCTTTAAGCGGGGCCACTCTACTGAAACTGCACTACTGTCAGTCACAGAATCGAGCTGCGGGTCAGTCCTCAGTTCTATTACTGCTAGACCTGTCTGCTGCCTTTGACACAGTCAACCATCAAATTCTCCTATCCACGCTCTCTGAACTTGGCATCTCAGGATCTGCCCTCTGCTGGTTCCTGTCCTACCTCTCTGGGCGATCCTTTAGAGTGTCGTGGGAGGGAGAAGTGTCCAAAGCGCACAGCTTATCCACAGGGGTACCTCAAGGGTCAGTGCTTGGTCCCCTTCTCTTCTCCATATATACAAGCTCACTTGGTTCAATAATCTGCTCTCGTGGCTTCTCATACCACTGCTATGCTGATGATACCCAGCTCTTCCTGTCATTCCCACCAGATGATGATACAGTCTTTGCAAGAATCTCATCATGCCTTGCTGATATCTCTAAATGGATGAATGAACGGCACCTTCAACTCAATCTTTCAAAGACTGAGCTCCTTGTCATCCCAGCCAGTCCCTCTATGCAACCACAGATCAATATCCAGCTTGGAACAACCAAACTCATGCCCGCAAAGTCTGCCCGGAACCTGGGTGTCATGATTGATGACCAGCTAACTTTTAAGGTTCAAGTAACCTCGATTGCCCGGTCATGTCGATTTGCCCTGTACAACATCAGGAAGATCAGACCTTACCGGTCAGAACACGCTACACAGTTCCTGGTACAGGCTCTTGTGATATCACGCATCGACTATTGCAACTCTCTACTGGCAGGTCTTCCTACATGCACTATCAAACCTCTGCAAATGATACAAAATGCAGCAGCACGACTGGTCTTCAACCTTCCTAAAAGAGCACATGTCACTCCGCTGTTCATCGCCTTACACTGGCTCCCAGTTACTGCTCGCATCAAATTTAAAACTCTGCTGCTCACTTACAAAACAGTGACAAAAACGGCTCCTCCTTACTTTAACTCTCTCATCCAGGTCTATACTCCCTCCCGCCCACTACGCTTTGCCAATGTCTGATCCAACCTTCACAACAGGGTCCTAAGTCTCTGACTAGACTCTTCTCCTCTGTTGCCCCCTGGTGGTAGAATGAACTTCCAAACTCCATTCGATCTGCAGAGTCCCTCTGCACTTTTCAGAAAAAGCTAAAGACCCAGCTCTTTCATAAATACCTACTAACTTAATGATGATGGTCTCGATATCATTGATGATAATTATGTTTGTGACGATTGTTTTTGTTTGATAACGATGACTTATAAGATGGTTTCTATACTGATTAGAGCTCTCAAGAACGGCCATCAATGTTGTGCTTTGCCTCTGTGCAATGCCTGTCAGCACCTGTGTGTCCAATCGGACTCAAAGCTGATCGTTTGCTCTGACTGACATTGTTCCCTTTTTTTCTAGATCCTTGCTTGTGTTGTACTTACTCTCTGATGTACGTCGCTTTGGATAAAAGCGTCTGCTAAGTGAATTGCAGAACTGTAGAATTGTAGATCAGTGGAGAGGGGTCGACCGTTGTCCCACATATTCTTGAAAAGGTCTCAAAAAGAGAGCAGCAGAAACCAAAAAGTTTTGGGCCTGTCTAGAACATATGTAACAAAGTGGCAGGAGCCTGTTTACAACAATCACATGTTGGGTCAAGATCTGTTTTAAACTTAGCTAGTTTACCTTTAGACCAATGCAAACGATGTACAACTTTAAACTGAATTACAGCGTGCCGAAGACATATCGAGGAGGAATAAATCCTTTGTATGACTTGATGCCAAACTGCCTCTGCAATTACCTCACCCAGGTCCGCCTCCCACTTATTCTTAAGGCTCTCCAAACCAGTAACATTGTGTGAGTTGAGCAATGTATAAATCTTGCTTATAATATGTTTGGTGTCCATTTTACATTTCAAAATTGAATTTAGCAGGGAAACCGGCGGGCATTGAGGGAAGTAATAAGAGTTAGATGACACAAAATTCCTGAGTTGCAAATAGCTGTAAAAATGTGACTTGTGAATCTTAAACTTATTTGATAACTGATCAAAAGATGCAAACGTGTTATAAATATAGAGGTCATCTAATGTGCTTATTCCCAGATTTGACCGTGTATCAAAAGCCTCATCCATTAGAGATGGAGCAAACATATGATCTTTAGATAATGGAGCAGCATGTGACATATCATGAAGGTTAAAGGAACGTCTAAATTGGTTCCAAATTTTAACTGAATGAATAACATTAGGATTTGACGTAAAGACTGGCATTGGTTGCTTAAATTGGAGTTTAGAACAGAGTGAAGCCATCAAAGAGGAAGATCCAATGGATGATGCCTCCAAAACCGTCCAGCTGGGGTTAGTGACCTCACTCCTCGTCCAAGAGATAGATAGATAGATACTGTATTGATCCCGAGGGAAATTCAAAGCATCCAGTAGCAGGTTACAGACGTACATGACATGAAACATTTGTTACAAATTAAACCGCAAAACCGAACCCCCCCCCATACATATATATTAATCCAAAAAAAGATTTAAAGAATACCTCTAGATGAAACAAACTTAAACTGTGCAATTAAAAACAGATTCATACAAGAAATGTACATAACCTGTGCAGGGATAAAATATATATGTGCAATTTAAACAAGAACCTATAAACAGTTGAGGGAAAAAAATCTGTATTTAGACCTGAATATAAAATAATAAAAAGTGTTGACCTTCTGAAGTTGTGTTGTTTATATATGTACAGCAATGTTTAAAAAAGCAGATAGTGCCAAGTTATCAAAAACAGACATTAAATAACGGGCAGTGCAAACATTAAATTAAAGGTGCTATTTAAGTAATTGAGGTGATCATTAAAGTGTCCAACTAGAGGCTGACTCTTGGGACAGCTGTGCAGATGGGAAATGGAAAAAGGAAGATTTTAGTCCAAGTGTGTGCTTTCCCCTGTCCATAACCGTGAGGTGTTGTACAGACGTATGGCCAGGGGGACAAAAGAGTTCTTAAGACTGTCTGTGGAACAGGATTGTGACAG